AAAGCCCTAGCACCTACTCTATTTTATAAATTTGTTACAAAGTTTACGTATAAATTTACACAATTTTGAAAACTGAGGGGAAGATATAACCCCTCCTACCAATAACGTGACTCCACCGCCACTAACTTCAATACTATATATGTAGAAGTAGTTGTTGTATGTGGCTGTGTGTTCGCTAAGAGAGTTATTGCCCCTAATTTACTAGCTATAGGGTCATCAACCCCAAACCCCATTTCCATTTGATGATTGGCTAGGGATCACGGATCGATCTCATTATATGTTATTTCGGCGCTTGTTAGGATTTTAGAATCGATCAGAACAGTAGGTATTTGATGTAAACAATTTTGTTAGTAACGTTCCTTGTAGTGAGCAGGAATTTTATGATACCAGCATGATACAAATATCACAGTACACAGACAATCATGGATTAAAATTTAACTCTCTTTACTGTATATAATATGTTCGAAACTCCGAGATCCCCTTCATGGTTATAGTTAGGGCTGGGCATGCGGGCGGATCATCCGCGGGTTTTGGCCGACCCACCCGCATTTGACCCGAATTTCGTTAAGTGGGTGGGTCTGTGGGTGGGTGACGGGTTGCGCTAGGAGCCATCCGCCGGGTGGTGGGTGGGTTGTGGGTGAGTGTGCGGGTGACCCGCTCAACCCAACAGCAAAAAGATCAAAGTCGTTGGCGCTAGAGAGAGGAGAGTGGAGACGTTAGATATAAACTCGGACTGCTCCTGGAGTTTGAAGCTCAAAGCCAACCTTCCAAATAGAGATCCCCTCTTCTTCCCTTTACTTTTTCCTCTAATTCTTGTGCCTAGATCACCGCTCTTTCCTTTGTGGAATTATTTTCCTTAGTTCCTTGCACCTAATAATCATCTCAATTTGTAGAAAACTCTTTCATAATAGAATTTCTATCCAATTTAAGAACTAATTCGACATTTTTCGCCCTATTTCAACTTCTTGTTTCCCTCGATGATTCTCTTCACCTATTATCATTTCAAGTTGACTCCTTTATATTATATACATTGTAATGTGGGTGAACCCACAAACCCACCCGCATCATCCACCATCCACCCGACCCAACCCGAGACTAAATGTGGGTGGGTGGTGGGTTAAAAATTATCAATCCATTTAAGTGCGGGTGGGTGCATTTTATGGTCAAAATCCACCCGACCCACCCAATGCCAACCCCTAGTTATAGTAATAAACATGAATTACATCTAGTAGTTTTATTATTTCGTTATTGAGTTCAAATCCAAGGGCCCTCTTTCACCAATTGAAAATTAAACAACGATAATTATGTATATCTTCCACACATTAAAAACCCCAAATATCAGCAACATAAAAAAAAATAGAGCCTTTACAATCCGATATTTCATATTTCTAGAAAACTAGATGTCGTTAATTATTAATTTCCTTAATACCCCATAAATGGAGTCTTGGCTGATTTGGTTCATTCTCACTTCATTTTTCTTTTGTCATTTTGTAATATATTTTTTTTGTCTTTCCGTTCTTATCAAGTCCGTTTCTTCTTTTCATTATGTCGTAGGCATTCATCTTCGTTAACTAGTGATGGCAATTTGAACCCGTCCTGTGGATATTAGCTGATCTGACCCGCGATGGGGTGGGTATTACCCGACCCACAACAGTGTGGGCGGGGTATGGGTATCTACTTCTGACCCGCTTTGCCTCGCTCCACCCCGTTCTAGACCTATTTTATCTCAATTTCTTACGGTATCTATACATATTTCTCCTATTTTGGCTTTTATTCAACTAGTTAGAGTCAATATTTCAACTTGTTAGACTCAATTACCTATTCTATTATAAATATTTTTCTTTCATAAAGTGTTTTTCCTTTTGTTTATCGTAAAAAGTAACATTTGAGTGTATCTTTTTCAAATGAAATGTAAGAGTGGGTCGACCCGCCCCGCCCCGTACACGCTCGGATTTTACCCCCCTCTGCCCGTACTAGCGTGGGACGGGGAATGGGAATTGAGGTACCCGCCCCACCTCATTGCCATCACTATCGTTAAAAGTGATTAATAATTTTTTTCACAAAACTTGTAAATAGTTTAGCATCGAAAAAAATTTAAAATATATTTAATTTCTAACACGCTTTATTATTACGATTAAAAGACGGGACAATTCACCACCAAATACCTCTCCTAACGGCCACGGCTATTTGCTTAAATTTTTTTTTTTTTTGCCATAGATAGATCGTAAATAGATAGGGTATTACAATTCTTGAAAATTAAAAGCGGTAGTCAACCTAGTGTTGAGCTACCGATGCAAGGGCCGTTTGTGCCACTCAATGGGCAGCCTTGTTAGTATGCCTAAAACCATAGATAAACGAATTTGCGTCTTCCTTCAACAAACTTCTTGAAGCACTCATCCGCCGAGTAGGGCCTTCATATCTCCTATAAGTCAAGCTTCAATAGGTCAATAGTAGAGTTGATGTGCAAGCTACCTGCAAGATGAACACACAAACGACTCCTAAACGGGGAACAAAGCAAATTTCAAGTACCAACAGACATCTACCAGAGATGCTCCACAAACACTAAGAACCACTCCGCCCGATGTGATGTCGTTGGAGAACGATGGAGCGAATCCCTGTAGAGAAGCTTTGTCGGAGATGCTACCGAACAGTCGCACAAAGGCGAAAGCGGCGAGATTGTGGAAAACTGTCGGATGAGGGCACCAAACCTTATTTTCTAAAAGAGTTAGAAATTATAATTGAAAACAAATAATAATAAAATAAGAAAGAAAATGGAGGAGTGAGTAAAACTTATCTGGAGTTAGTAAAACGGTTTTTTTTTAATACGTCGCAAAACAATAATAATAATAATAATAAACAACTTGCTTAACTTTCTACATAAATAATGTGCCAGTTTTGGTGTACAAAAGTAGGCCGGACCAGCAGGCAAAATCTGCTTATTTGTGGGCATGGTTTCAGAATCAACTTTAGCAAGGTATCAAATATGTTAGACCCAAGTGTCTTTGGGGCTTTAGAGAATACATATGGCCATAATTGGTTCGCAAAGCCCATAACTGGCCTAATTCCTTACGAGCCATGGATAAGCATCCAATGGCCCAATTTGCAAAGTTAAATATATAATTTCTTCATGCAATTAGAATCATTAGGATTAATTGAAGTTAAATTAATAGCTCAAATGTCGAATATTAAAGTTATGATAATTCTCAATATTAACAGCTGGATTGATTTTGAGTTAAAATACTTTAACAATTATAAACCTATTGTCATGAGAATTTGAACACAATAACCTCAATTACTGACGGTACAAAATATGACTGTAAGGTGACTGTTAATTTCCTTATACTCTGGTTGTTGACTACACTATTATAGACCTAACCAATCATCTAACTGCAATTAAGAAACATTAATAAGAAATAAGAGCCCATATGGTACCTATCTATATACATATTCCTAAGTAATTAAATTAATAGTTGATTAGTACTTTTATGGTACAAGTGTAACCACGGATTTAGCTGGGATCATATGGGCAGCATATGTTGACAAAACACAGTAGAGTCTGTGTCAGCCCATATGATTTTAGGTTGGCAAGATCAAATTAATTATGATTAAGTATGATTAGAGAATATTATTAGCTATAACGCACTTGGTTTTGTTTGCCTCATCATATCTTGCTCATTATTAGAGGACAAATTAGTGTACTCTTAATCTGTCCCAAGTAGTCCAGAGATGCAATTAATTAACATATCAATTCAATTGGCAAGAGCAAATCAGTCGACTAGGATCACATGATGAACGACTAATCATGATTAGTGGGTGTATTAATATGGCAAAGAATGAGTAGTTGTATTTATTTTATAATTAACTCCTAAAGGTAATCATATCCAATGTGTTTTAAGATTGAAAGAGTAAGAAAGTAATGTAAACTATATCAATTGCAAGTTTATTATATCGAATGTACTATAACCTATAACGAGGTTTATTAGAGTATGGTTCCTCAATGTGATTTATCATGTAGTACTCTGTATAAGTTTGAAGTTTTCTTATTCATTGTGTTTGAACTCTTGTATCTTGCTTATTTATGGAACTTTTGTACTTTTAGTAATAAAACACAATAACTTTAATCGATTCTTATTTATTAAACAAGTTTTTACACTATGAATTTTGATGCTACTTAAATATCAATTGCTACAAGGGCTATAAGCCCTAATCGCCTGCTCCCATGAGTTTACCAGGTATTCATGAAATCACAGTGGCCTTAGACGTATGGGCCAAGATCCCTCGCCTCAAAGTATACTTGTTGGTCTTCAATCTGAGAAGATCTCTAATTCAAATTACTTAAATAACTTCTAGCTACAAAAATCAAACCGATGTTACCCTCGTAAAAAGGTATAATTGCATATGAAATTTTATGGAAGTAATTTTCTAGTTTATAGAAGATTACTTAGGAAATACATGTTCGTCACAATAAATTATGTGTCTACATTGTGCATTGTATGATCTACTCGAAATTTTATTCTATGTGAAGGCACTAATAACTAGCTTAAACCATTTCAATGCAACTACCCATATTGCATCTCTTCATGACTCATCAAGAGAGTAATCATTAATGTACCATCCATTTTCCGATATCATCAACTACTCCATTTAAGTACACACGTAAAATTAGAAGCTTGCGTCAATATTTTCTATTCAGACTCGTCCAGTAACTAGAGTTATCGAAATGATTAGAACTTGCAATCAAATGATTACAACTTTACAAGCCCTCCAATGACGCAGCCAAAAAAAAACATTTGGACCCATCTGGAACTTTCCAATGAGCTAAGGTGAACCTTCCCAGATACCCCCTGTTTTTGCCGATTCCCTCTCTCTCTCTCTCTCTAAATCTCCAGATGTACATTACGTCTAACCTCTTTTGATACACATCTTCTTCGACCCCAATAATTATCTGTCTATATAATACCCATTTCCCCTACCTTAAATAAAAACCAAATTACAGGGGAGAAAACAGAGGAGAAACAACGACATGGAGAACTACAAGCCGGAAATGGCCATGGCTGCCCTGCAGTTCTCTTACGCCGTCGTTTCTCTCGCCGGCAGGGCGGCCCTTTTGGAGGGTTTGAGCCCCAGAGTGTTCGTCGTCTACAGGCAGGCCATTGCCGCTCTCACCGTTTCTCCCATGGCTTATTTCTCCAGCAGGTGTATATATGTATACAGAGGTTTTCAATTTGGTTACTCTGTTTTTTTTTTCAGAGTTTTGATTTCATTTTTCTAACTCGAATTCTGTAATGATTGAAGGAGGAAAGTTGCAGGCGGTGACGGCAGGGATTCGATTGGGTTCAGAAGCTTTTCCTTGATATTCCTCGCCGCTCTCATAGGGTATGTGGATCGTAACCTAATAGATTGTGATATCGTACCGTATTAGATTAGTTAATTTTTAATGAGTTATTTCTGTTACCAATGGTGTAGCCGGACATTGAGTTCACTCGGTTCCTTAAAAATTTACTAATATTAATGCTTGTGTACCTAATGAATTTTGAGTTAACTGGGGTCCTTGATGAGCTAACATCGTTGAGACTATGGGGTCCTAAACTTGAATTATCGTACTAAAACCTATACATTTAAAGACTATTGTTGCCCAATTGTTTGCCAAGTAGCTAGGGTCCTAGAACCCCTCTCCTTCTTACCTCCTTCCGCGCCACTGTCTGTTACGTCTTGAATGGTAATTTATAATCTTCAATATGATTTTTACAATTCATGGCAACCTCATTTACGTTTGAGTATGTAAAAGGGTTCCATGAAATAGGTACACAGTAGTCGCTTTTAGCAAAACTTAATTGTACGCGCGTATGATAGAAATATAAGTAAAATACTTATGAGATATTATATGTTCGAGATTACTTAAGGGCATGTTTGGAAGTTAGGATTCTCTAAATTGATGTATTTAATTAATGTATGTATTATAATTAGATGCATTGTTTCAATGTATGAATTTGAAAAATACATTGTTTGGAGATTGAATGATTTTGGTGGTCCCTCAAAGTATAAGGAACAAAAAGTAAGACAACAATCCCTCAAAACACAATCTCTACTTAAAGCTGAGATTGACAATCATTCATAATGAATGATTTTGGTGGGCCCATTTGTTGTTCAAATACAAGCATTATGTTTCATTTTAAGCCAAAAAAACGATGAATTCTTCTGATTACATGTATTGGTTAAATACATAATCTGAAATCCCAACTTCCAAACGAGCCTTTTCCACGAATTGCTTAACCTAATTGATTTTTCCTTCTTTCTTTTGTTTCCACCAATTGTGTCTCTGCAGGGTGACAATCAACCAGAACCTCTATTTCGAAGGCATCTACTTGGCATCCTCTTCAATGGGGAGTGCAACAGGGAACCTAGTCCCTGGCCTCACCTTTGTCATGGCAACCATTTTCGGGTACCGAACATGAACTTTTCCAGCAAAAAACTTTCCCACTACCTAAACTTCTCATTTCTCACCAAAATGGCAGGCCAATTTTTTTTCCCCCCTAACAGATTAGAGAAGGTTAACATCAGGAGCCTGAGAAGCATGGCCAAAATTGTGGGAACAATCATGTGTGTTGCTGGAGCTGTGATAATGGCTCTAGTAAAAGGCCCAAAGCTCTTTGTCACCAACCCTTCAGCAGGGGGTGAGAATTGGCTTCTGGGTTGTTGTTTCCTCTTTGCTAGTGCTAGTTGTTGGTCCATTTGGCTCATCTTGCAGGTACTAAGAAACCTCGATCGGCTATGTTTTGCACACAACTGATATCGATATCGCGTTGAAATATCTCTTTCGTTCGAGTTCTCATTCTCGTTCTCTGGGGGTGTTGTTTGATCAGGTTCCGGTCATGTCCAGCTACCCCGATCCACTAGGAGTATCGGCTTGGATGTGCCTCATCGGAGCTTTACAATCAGGGTTCGTGACGATTTTTCTGGAGCCAGAATTGGAAGCGTGGAAGATAACATCGTATCTCCAGCTCTTTTCTTGTCTGTTCACGGTAATTTCGATCTACGAATGCTATGGTTTCTTTTATAATGCTTTTTTCGTTACGCTAATTCGTTCGAGAGATTTCGACAGGGTATCGTTGGATCAGGGATCGCCTTCTTCGTTCAGGCGTGGTGTATTGCGGAGAGAGGTCCGTTGTTCTCTGCACTGTTCAACCCTCTGTGCACGGTTATAGTCACCGTGTTGGCCTCGTTCCTACTAGACGAGAAGATTTATGTTGGGAGGTAACTTTTGAAGCAAAAAAACATATACAATCATTTGGTGTCATTCTTTTGTTTTGATTTAGACGGTCAAGTTGGTTGAGTAATGTTTGTTTTCTATGTGTTCTTCAGCCTATTAGGTGGAATTGGGGTGATTATTGGACTCTATGTGGTGCTATGGGGGAAATCCAAGGATTATGTGAAGGTAAGTAGTAATCATGAAGGAGAAATAATTGATGATCCCAAATCGGCCAATGATCAAACCCAAGTGGTGAAAATCCAGCTAGATCAAGAATGTGGAGGTGGAATTAGGTGTAAAATTAATGACCTAGAGGAACCATTTTTGTGTACCAAGATGAAGAATGACATTGGAGAGGACAATAGTTACGGTGACTCCACATGAAGAACCTTGAGTAACATTTGTGTGAGGTGGTAGAACGTATTTCCTTTGTATGTTTGCTTCATATTTCAGGTTTGTAATCTAAATTTGTTTATTAGATTGAGTTGTAAAATATATAAAAACTCTTCCAATAAATAAAAAGACATAATAGTATATCGGTCTCTGATATGATTTGGTAAAATATCTGTAATAAGTATACACCCTCTCTGTATGTATGACAAAGACTAATTATATGCATCGAATGGCATAGATAGTGGTGACATGTATAGGTAATGACCTATTGACCTTTATGTCTTCTGATCTAATTCGTGAAATTGTGATGATCAACATAGCCAAATATTCAATGAACATCATAATATATCATCGTACTGATTACTTGCATTTCACGAATTGTTACCCAGATTGTAATTTTTCTAATTCATCTAACTCCGACTAAATCTTCACCGAACCGACTAATTAATATAATCAATCGATAAAACATCACGTCGCATTACCCAACAATTCGAACCGGTCCACTTTGAACCCCAACCAAAATCCTGACCCTTCTCATCAACTCCATATGAATACACTAATGTAGTAATTCCAAAGATGAACTGGATTTTAAATTCCCCTCCAAAAAAGCTTTATTTCCAACTCAAAGGCATGTCAGTCCTAATCTGGATCCCAATAAACCCAACATTATTAAATCCCACTATATACACTGACTTTTGTTACACTCTTTTGATGACTGATTAGTAACAACAATCATAATAAGAAATTAATTAGCTCAACTTAGCAATGCTTTCAAAAGCATATGCTAATAGTTCGAACGATACAAAGCATATACCAAAAAACATGTACATCTGTATCTTGATTATACCTTTCTTCCTAGTAGAATCTTTTTTGGGTTGGTCGCATTCTCTAGGCTCATCTCGCCGCGTCACCATTATTTAATTTAAATTGTTTTCCTACCATCATTGTTGATTAAGAAAAAGAACAAACATGCTGGTGATGCCTTTACTCATGTGGTCTAAGTTTGATAACATAATTGAAGGTGAATCATCGGTTGATACTATTGTCGTCAAAGAGATATCTCTTTCGACCGGAAAGACCGATATTGAGCAACGAAATAGTTTGAAAAATCTTGATTTGCGACTATGCATGGTTAGAATAGAGAATAAGAAATGCATATTTTCGCGGGATCAATTTTGACTTTTTCAACTTCTTTAACTCTGAATCGAGTGTTTCATTCCTTCTTTTCATGCGTCTCGATTTGATAGAAAAAAAAAATTATCATATAACAAACCGCGAGAAGTCCTGAATGTGACAGATCGATTACAACAAGATCACACACGATATCACACTAGCTAGATATTCATATTACAGAAGTCGTAAGTCTCGTACCTCAAACTACACTGATCAAACAACACACTCCCACCGGCCCGGCCGGCGCAGCCGTCTCTCAGGCGCCTGAGGGCGTCGGCGTAGCAGTCCTCGCAAGCACTAACGGTCCCGCTGCAACAGTAATAGGTGTACACCGGAGCCGCACCAGTTTCCATTTTCTGGCAACCGGAGACCGTGCCCTTATGATAGTAATCCATCCCGAGCCGGTCGATCACGGCAGCTTGGAATCGGGCCCCGCCGGCGAAGTTATCGGGGTTGCAGCGGCCCGTTTTGCCGCTTCCCTTGCAGAGGCCCGAGGGGTCGTTGGAGTCGCATAAGGGCTCGTAGGAGCTGCTGCTTAACCCACAACAGCAACACATTATGATCATCATAACCATGATTATAACTACAGCGGATGTTGATGACGAGGATTGATCAGACATTTTTTTTTTTTTTGAAGTGACTTGATCAGACATTAACGTTCTTATATGATCACCGCAAGCTTAACGAGACTCATGATATATATGTATACATATTACTAGGCGTGCACTAGCTAGCACTTCGCCGGCGGCCGGCAGACAGGAGCTAGGAACCCAACATTAGATTCCAAAAATGGTGGCTCCTCCTAGGATGGATAGATAGATAGAGTTTTGGTCTCCGCCGGATCCTTTTCCCTTCCAGCCATAGGACGACCACGAGACGACAAGTAGCTGTCCGATCAAAATAGAAGAGAAAGGAAGTGTCCTGAGAAGTACAAACTCGTTATACTTTCACGACGGAATTCATAATATGTCCAAACCGGAGATTAATAGACTTCATCATTGCTCGAGAATAACCTCACGCAGAATCCGTGATCTGTTGAAGTCGAAATCCAAGGAAAATGACACTTTAAAAAAATCACCTGAAACCTATGATGGTAGTCATTTGGCATCTGCCAAAACAGACCAGGAAACAATCCGTCTAAATCGGTGCTTAATAGACATAATCATCGGTGAAGATTAGCTTTAGGCCGAATCCGTGTTCTGTAGCCTTCAAAATAAAATAGAAAGGTCTTTCGAAAAAAATACACAAAAAGTTATGAAAATGCCCTCCGAATTTTTTTTTTTGTGCCTAAATCGGGGATTAATGGACTTCATCATTGGTGGAGAATAGCATAAGATCGAATTCATGATCTGTAGCCTTCAAAATAGCCTTTCAAAAAATTGCTTGAGATCTGTAATAGTACCCCTTTGAAATCTGTAAAAAATGAACAAGAAAACAAATCCGCCCAAATCGGTGCTTATGAGACTAAATCATTGGTGAAAAATAGCCTCAAGCAGAATCCGTGATTTGTAGCCTTTAAAATCCAAGGAATATGAATTTTTGAAAAAATCGTCCAACAATTATGAAAATGCCCTTCCGGAAAAAATCCTCCCAAATATGTGATTAATAGACTTCATCATCAGTGGAGAACAGCCTCAAGCCAAATTCGTGATCTGTAGCCTGCAAAATCAAAGGAAAATAGTCTTTGGAAAAAATCGTCTGAAATCTGTAATAGTACCCCTATTAATTCTACCAAAAATGGACCAGGAAAAAAGCCGCATAAATTGTTGCTTAATAAACTTAATCATTGGCGCAGAAAAGTCTCAACTCCAATCCATGATCCGTACCCTTAAAAATTCAAGAAAAATGCACTTTTGAAAAAAAACGTACAAAAATTACGAAAATATTTTTTTCAAAAAAAAACTCATTGTTTAATAGACTTAATCATCGTCAGCAAAAAAAAGTATTCATGTATCACCTCACGCTACTATGAGTAAGGTGATTACGCGGATCACAATAGAAATTGCCATCAATACATGTTAATGAAGCATATAGGCTGTGTTTATTGCTTCAGCTAGACAATGTTTGGTCAAACTCGCGTTCGAACTACATTATTTACCTTTGTTTGGGCCGTAAGACTCTGAATTTTTGGCTGCTTTGATTTTCAACTTATCGCCTTTGAATCTCTTGAATAGGATAGAAAGAATAGTGATTGGGATGAACCGAGCGAGCTATGTTATCCACGCGGGTATTCTAAAATTATGGATCATACGAAGATGTGTTTGTCTAAACCTCCCACATACAAGCATGCAATACCCGGATGGATACCCAAAACTATACTAGGAGTGTATCGCCGTCAAGTCTGTCATTTACTTTTTGTGAGTTTTAACCATAGTCATCCCCCATGCTGAATCATGCAAATGCAAAAAATTCCTCTCGCGCGCGTTGACTGGGTTGGTAGCGATCGGATACCACTGTTGCGGTTTTATAGCACGACCTAGGTCAGGGTATCACAACACAATGTTCGTTTTCATACCATAAGATAGAAGAAGAAAAAAAAAACATAGTTTATTGATTAACTCATCATGGCAGTACAAAGAGTCGTATTACCATCATCCTTCATCATCATGATCTCAACAGAAGCTTTGAAGCTCATACCTTAGACTACACTCATCGAACAACACACTGCCTCCAGCTCTGCCGGGACAGCCGTCTTTCAGGCGCTTGATGGCCCTAGCGTAGCAGGCGCCGCAACCGTCGACGAACCCGCTGCAACAGAAGTAGAAGTACACCGGAGGAGTAGTCAGCGTCTGTACGCATCCAGTGCTCCTGCCGCCGTAGTAGTAATAACGATTGTTGGGCCTCGGCCCACTTGCAGAGCAAGTCACAGCCCACTCAATCAAAGAATCCCTCAGCCCAAAAGAAGTCAAGAAGCGTCTTCGCCATTCATCCCCAAAATCGTCAAAAGTCATCAAAGCCTCGAGGAAGAACTCTTCCCTGTCATTCCTCATCAGAAACCATTTGCCCCGAAGAGCTCGTCCAACGGTCTCATCATTCATGAAGAGAGAGATAGGAACGCAAGATTCATTCCGAGAACTTCTATAAGAGGCGCTGCTCGGGAAGAAGAAGGCAACGGTTTCCACTATCAGTAGAACGGGTTAGTTCTTGGGATAGCTGGTTAGGGTTCATCAGTTTAGTGTCTGGATTCGTAGAGTTGGGGCTGTGGCCAGGGACTCTACGTAATCTGGGCATAGCTCTTGGTTTGCCTTGCTTGTTTTATCTTTCCCTCCTTTATTTTCCCCTTGCTACAGTTGTTCGAAACACTGTTTGAACTTCATAGTAGAATCAACTCACTGTTCTAAATTCAAATTTACAATTGTCTGAATCGAAATGAGTTAAGACTTGGCACCAACAATTGGTATCAGAGCCCCCTTGTCGTGGAACGAAAGTTGCCGATAAGGAGATCCTGTGCCTCGCCATGTCATCTAATTCATTTCCCACCAGCTCAAACCCCCCTTGGTTTTCTGGTTCTAATTATTCTGTTTGGAAAAAAAGGATGAGACTTTACCTCCGAGGAATCGACTGTGAACTATGGGCAATTGTCCGAAATGGACCAATTGACATGAAAGAAGACGATGAGGAGGATTGGTCAAAAGAACAAATGAAAAGTGCTCAACTAGATTCTAGGGCAATGCACATTTTACTCTCTGCTATTTCAGATGATGAAGGAGAAAGAGTAAATAAGTGTGAAACTGCTAAAGAAATCTGGGAAATCTTAGAAACCACCCATGAAGGAACTTCAGAAGTAAAAGAAACAAGAATTGACCTTCTTCTCAAAGAATATGAAACCTTTGATATGTTGTCAGGAGAATCAATATCTGAAATGGACAAAAGATTCACTACTCTAGTTAATCGACTAAAAGGTCTAGGAAAAACCTTCTCAAGTAAAGAACTAGTTAGAAAGGTTCTAAGGTCTCTGCCTTTAGAATGGATGGCTAAGAGAACAGCTATAGAAGAGGCTAAGGACCTCAACACTCTGTCTCTGGAAAACTTGA